TTTTTTGGACACAATGTAATTTTGATGTACTATGGAAGCTGAGGTTAGAATTTTAAAACCCATCCAAAAATACACAAAAAACAAATTTTGTGCTAAATGATGTAAAAAAAAACATTTTTTTAAAAAATCATTGCAAATTGTCGTTCCCCCCCCCATACCATTTCTAAGGTAAGAATGGAACTGTAACACAGACATGTAGTATTTCTCCCAGAATTTTATTTATTTGCATGAGGGTTGAAACAGCACTGCCACCCAAGTTAAGCAATACTCCATGTACATTTGTGTGGACATCACTGTTGCACTCGTGTCACACAGTCTGTCAGTGTAGTATTGATCATTCTAAATTAAATATGTATATAAACAATGACTTGGCAATAGTCAGAGACATATCAAAGTATATTCATTATATCAGGAGGGGATGAAACTGACACCAGAGAAAATGCATTGATCCAGGTTTCTTTCAGATAAAGAATAAATGTCCTCTTAAAGTATGTACAGAATGGACATTTGTTTGTGACACAGAGTTTATTTGAGCTAACTGTACACTGAGGGACGTTTTGTGTGTTGTGTCTATCGGTAGAGATAATCAGCTTGTATGTTGGCAGATATCTCTGCTTCCCACTTGTCTCCGTTGTTGAGAAGCTTTTCCTTGTTGTAGAGAAGTTCTTCATGGGTTTCAGTGGAAAACTCGAAGTTAGGGCCCTGAAGAATGAAGGAAAATGGATGAAGATAGCAATGTTGGCATAAAGAAAAGGAACAGATGAACAAGCAGAATGAAAATAAAAAAAACAGAGATATAAAGTGACAATGTCAGAGATTTTCTTTTAAATAAAGTCAACATCACCAAATGAGGTAACCCAATGGCAACTGAGCCCATGACTTATTGATGAAATTATCTAAAATTCCTTGCATTTATACTGAGTAAAGAACTGGGGATCTGGGAAAACAGCAGATGTTTTGGCATCTCACAGCAGGAAAATTTGTAATTAGGGGTACTGAAACTGAACTGAAATGTTTGACAAAAAGTCAATAGGGAGACATCTGCTGGCAGAGGGATTACACACAACACAATGTTTTAAGAGGAGGCAGCTGAAAAAATAAAGATATGTGCCATGAAAAACTGATTTGACTGCATGTAGGAGCATGCTAAGGTGCTGCACACACCTTTTGTGTCTGACATTGTGCTGTGTGTGTGTATGTGTGAGCACAGGATCATATACACACCTCAACAATGGCATCCACAGGACAGGCCTCCTGACAAAAACCACAATAGATACATTTGGTCATGTCGATGTCGTAGCGAGTTGTCCTCCTGCTGCCATCAGTACGAGTCTCTGCCTCAATGGTGATGGCCTGGAAACACACATTTGTAAGGAGACACTGTTATCTGGAATTCAAACTGATAATGAATAATAGCATATTTTTCACTGACATAATATTCACATTCAATTACACATTTCAGGCACTCTAAGCAACTCAAGATAGCTACTAATGATGAAAACATACATGTAGCCAAAGTAGTCTTGTCTTGTTGTTAATTTAGACAGACATATGACCGACAGTCTCTTTCAATTTGGCTGTGTATGTGTCTGTATGTATACCTGGGCAGGGCAGATAGCTTCACACAGTTTGCAGGCAATGCAGCGCTCTTCTCCTGAAGGGTACCTGTTGTAGAAATATTGCAGAGGTTTTGTTACGGTTTGATCTGGAGCACCATTACTAATGTCTTCTTCTGGTAGACTCTTTTTTCCAATGTCCACAACTAAAGCTTGATCTGCTTAATTTGTTGACATGAAATCTTAACTATCAGATGCTGACTACTAAGCTTGATATGACTTCATCAGCTGGTGCTTTTACCAAAGAAGACACATCTGTTGAAGAATGTGTTGGATCTACAGAAACACTCCATCCAATCTGACTGTGTAGTAGTGTCACCGATGGATTCATCTTTTGTCTAATGAAATGAAAAAATTTGGCTGAATAAGGAAACCTGCCACTTCCCCATTGGTTTGCAGAGGGGCCCATATCCAACACTGAAAGTTTCATTTTGGCATATGATGCAGTTAACTGATGACCTGTTGTCATATTAGCTGTGTTTAGATTAGTTCCCAGGTGTTTAGGACTAGACGGGTAGATTTTATTGTCCCCACGGGGAAACTGATTGTGAAACAAAGCAACAACTTTCAGAACATCCATCAACTTTTGGAAATGGCACAACCTCTTTTCTTTTCTCCAGCTGTAGCCAGAGTAACAAAGGCCAATGTTTTCCAGGAAAGCGACTAAACAAAAACACAGATGCAGCATGTAAACAGTCTTCTTTTCTGATTTAGAGAACGAGTTAAAAATCAGTTTTCTGTCACGTTTAGGAAAGTGTTCAGTTTGGCCAGTTGTACACAAAAAAGTTTTTGAGCTTGACCATTTGGTTAAAACACAGCCTAGGCAAATGTGGCTTGAAAGGACATTGGTTAGATTGCATGATCAGTACACAGACACTCCTTTGGCCAGTGACTATAAAAGGCCACCTTAAAATACTGGATGCTGGCACGTCAGTTAGGGCAGCAATCTGGCACTTGAATGTTCAAAACTCCACCATTTGTCATCTTGAAACTGCTTCAGATATCTTTGGATGGATATGTCCAAGGATGTGATCACGTTGTCCAGAAATGTCCACCAACTTTGCCCTTCAGAAAGCATTAAACATTCCAAAAGCCAGCAGTGACAATCTTATTATGCCTATGTGTTGCAGATGTGAGACATATGCTATGCAAATGGTCGACATGCCCGCTACTAACTTGTGATTTCTGGTCCCTGACCTCAGTATTGATCATTATGATTTGTAGTGTAGTGTGTACTTGGTTGTTTCATGACGCCCATTCTGTTTTTGACAGCAAATACTTAATCCGCTATGTTAAAAAGAAAGGACAGAATTTAACAAAATATTACATACTGTGTTTATATTTTTGTTCAGTATGTATGAGATCACTTCATCAGACATTTAGGACCATTGTGCAATACAGAGCACGTATCATCTCATTTGGATGGCTCTATAATTTTCATGATCTTGTTCTGTCTTTAAATGATCGGATTCATGATAAGGACAAAAGCTAATACCTCTTCAGTTACACTTTCCATCCACAATGTATAGGAATTAATACTAGCTTCTGAGGCCACACAGGAATATTA